CTTCAGGTTCTTGTTCTATCTAGGCTGGAAATATTGCTTGCCACTCTACAGCACCTTTCAGGCAGGTGAAATTGACGACCTAGTAAATGTACAGAGACTTTCACGGCGCGCATAACGGAGATAAAAACCTCAATTACTGGGAGCGCTTGAGGTTTCTAATAACCTGTATTCCCTGGAAGCAGGAGGGAGAGATACATTGATTATATACACCTGGAAATCCTAGAGGGACTAAGTACCGAACTTGCACACGAAAATCACTCACTACGAAAGCAAAAGACTGGCAGACGATGCACCATCCCCCATGAAAAGCAGGGTGTCACTTGCCGTTAAGAGACCATACAGGGGCCCGAGGACTGTGTTCAACTGCCTCCCAAGCACACATAAGGGGGTACCACCCCCCGGGGGGGGGTGGGGAATACCCCCTGGGGGGCAGTCTCAAGCTGGCACTGGACAAGCACTAAGTCAGTCCTGGAATCAAAGCCGGGCTGTGGCTGTACGTTGGTTTGAGTGCAGCCAGCAGCATCAGCCTGGTTGATCAGGTCGCTGTCCACAGGTAAGCCTGAGTCACAGACCGGGCCGCGGGGGCATTGACCCCCGAAACTCTCTCCAGGTAAACTCCAGGTAATACTACTCCAGTAGATTCACAGACACTAGAGGAGATATAAAAAAGACCTGGAAAACACTCTCTCAGATTCTAGGGACACAAAACTGAAAAAAACAAGAAATATTGTCCTAACTAAACCTAAATGAAACCCACTACATCCCCTGCACAAGCTAACAAGATAAACGACTTCTTCTCAACCATAGGATCTAATCTCGCCAATAAAATCCCACATATCAATGCCCATGCCGGGGACTACCTAGATGAGAATTTCCCAAATTCCTTCTGTCTTGCACCAACTGAGCCCATGGAAGTCACCGAAATTATAAAGTCACTTAAAAATAACTCGGGGAATCTGTCTCATGTCCCACCATTACTGTACAAGCGAGCGGCCCATGTCCTTTCGCATGCTATTTCATTACTTTTTAACAAGTCACTAGAAACTAGCACCTTCCCCGAAACTACTCAAGATGGCAAGGGTTACACCAATACATAAAGATGGTGACCCTACAGACTTAAACAACTATAGGCCAATATCAAACTTACCATTGCTATCCAAAATCTTTGAGAAACTCGTGCACAGGAGACTATATTCATTTATAATGGCACAAAACATACTCAACCCCTGCCAATTTGGATTCAGGAAAAATAAAAACACTAATGATGCAATCATAAAAATGCTAGATCTGCCTTACACAGCATTGGAAAATAAGGAATATCCACTAGGAATTTTTATTGACCTAAGAAAAGCTTTTGACACAGTAGACCACAGCATCCTACTCCACAAACTTGACCATTACGGTATAAGAGGCCATGCGCTTGCTTATTTCAAATCTTACCTTACTAATAGGTATCAGTATGTCACCATTAAAGACACAGCATCAGCAACACGGCCACTTGATACTGGAGTTCCGCAGGGAAGTGTCCTTGGCCCCCTGCTCTTCCTCATATACATCAATGATCTTCCAAACGTATCCCAACACCTGAACCCATTCTCTTTGCTGACGACACGACTTATGTCATCTCTCACCCTAATCTTGCCACCCACAACACCATTGTTAACGAGGAGCTGATCAAAATATCGACTTGGATGACAGCCAGTAAACTTACGCTTAACACTGACAAAACCTACTATATTATGTTTGGTAGCAGAGCAGGAGATGCACAAATTAACATTAAGATCGACAACACTCTAATTACCAGACATAATGAGGGCAAATTCCTAGGCTTATACCTTGACAACAACCTGAATTTTAACACCCATATCCAACACATAACCAAAAAAGTATCCAAAACGGTTGGGATCCTCTCCAAGATACGATACTACGTGCCGCAAAATGCCCTTCTCACACTATACCACTCACTTATTTATCCATACCTCACCTATGCCATTTGTGCTTGGGGATCAACTGCAGCAACACACCTAAAGCCAATAATAACCCAACAAAAAGCTGCAGTAAGAATAATCACTAAATCCCATCCCTGGCAACACACCCCCCCACTCTTCATAGATCTAAACTTACTCCCTGTTCAGTACATCCGCACTTACTACTGTGCAATCTACATCTACAGGACCTTAAACTCCAATATTAACCTTGACCTAAAACGCTTTCTTGATAGTTGTGACAGAACCCACAGGCATAACACCAGACACAAACATCTCTACGACATTCCCCGGGTCCGACTAAACCTTTACAAAAATTCAATGTATGTCAAAGGCCCTAAAATCTGGAACACCCTACCTGAGAACTCTAGAACTGCAGACACATTCATCACCTTCAAAACTACTATTAGAAAACATCTTATCTCCCTGATACACCCCGTCAACTAACTACACGAATACCACCTGGTGGTTCACACTTACACTCACTCACCCATTTGACCATAAACAGAAATATTAATCTCAGTCTTAAAATAATGAATCCTGTGATACTCCAATACTGAAACTATGTACTGTGCCAAAACAAAAGCATTCACATTGCTAAACTCACAAACTAGTATTTAGTCACTTAGCCATAATACCAACTTGTCTCATAATTGGTAATATTTTAAAATTAAGAATTAAACTAAGTCTGCCCGAAATGCCTAGCCATGCTAAGCGTTCTAGTGGTACACTCTGTAATCATTATTTTACTACATGTAAACCACACAATAACCAAATTCTGTAAACTCAGCATTGTAATCCTTATAGAGAATAAACTTTGAATTTGAGTCTTATGTCATCTAAGAATGTTCCCATCTTTGTTGTCCATTCCTTTGAATACAGAAGTCTAAACAAATTTATTATGCAAGCCAATATAATGAAATAAAAGGGGATATGAAAAAGACATGGAAAGCCCTCTCTTATATCCTGAGTTTTGGAAGACTATCCAGAAACAGATATAAATTTAACTAAACCAGATGAACCTCTCATCCAGCCTTCAGACACTGCCAACAAACTTAATGTTTTCTTCTCTACTTATACAGTATTTATGTCATTGTGTCCTGGTCGTCTTTTCAGAAGTTACTTTAAGTCAACTCCTGGATGGTGTCATCATCAACAGTTGTAGGCCTCAAACAAACAAACAAAGAAAACAAATAAAAACCTTTATTTTTTATAGAATACTGCACAATATACAATACAGTATACAATACAGTATACAATACAGTATACAGTAACTGACATGTATAAACTATAGAAAGTCCCTTGTTATGCAAGACATTTCTGGCAGCCTTAAAACTAACTTATAATTACTGGACAGTGAGACACACAGCACATGAGAATAAGATTAATTTATACTACTATATTGAAGGTATTCAGTATAAAATTCTAATTAAAGATGCATTAAGGATGAAGCTAGGTACCTTTTAATGTGATGTGATGGCAGTTTTAATATTTAGTGATTTTTGAATGGAGACAGACATACAGTATGATGTGATCCTTTATTGACATTTCACCCATGAGTGTGCTTGAAAAATGTTGACTTTAAGAAGCTCACTGTGAACATAAAACGTTGTCAGTAAATGATTGCATTATGTTAATATACTCTTTTAACCTGTAATTACTTATTTTTACCTGTTGTGGCTTTTGCTTATATATCCCCATTCATTTTGTTCTATGTGAGGATTACATGTATTAAGTTCATGGGAATGCTAAACGCATTGGGGTCACCTGGAGTTTACCTGGAGAGAGTTCCGGGGGTCAACGCCCCCGCGGCCCGGTCTGTGACCAGGCCTCCTGGTGGATCAGAGCCTGATCAACCAGGCTATTACTGCTGGCTGCACGCAAACCAACGTACGAGCCACAGCCCGGCTGGTCAGGAACCGACTTTAGGTGCTTGTCCAGTGCCAGCTTGAAGACTGCCAGGGGTCTGTTGGTAATCCCCCTTATGTATGCTGGTAGGCAGTTGAACAGTCTCGGGCCCCTGACACTTATTGTATGGTCTCTTAACGTGCTAGTGACACCCCTGCTTTTCATTGGGGGGATGTTGCATCGTCTGCCAAGTCTTTTGCTTTCGTAGTGAGTGATTTTCGTGTGCAAGTTCGGTACTAGTCCCTCTAGGATTTTCCAGGTGTATATAATCATGTATCTCTCCCGCCTGCGTTCCAGGGAATACAGGTTTAGGAACCTCAAGCGCTCCCAGTAATTGAGGTGTTTTATCTCCGTTATGCGCGCCGTGAAAGTTCTCTGTACATTTTCTAGGTCAGCAATTTCACCTGCCTTGAAAGGTGCTGTTAGTGTGCAGCAATATTCCAGCCTAGATAGAACAAGTGACCTGAAGAGTGTCATCATGGGCTTGGCATCCCTAGTTTTGAAGGTTCTCATTATCCATCCTGTCATTTTTCTAGCAGATGCGATTGATACAATGTTATGGTCCTTGAAGGTGAGATCCTCCGACATGATCACTCCCAGGTCTTTGACGTTGGTGTTTCGCTCTATTTTGTGGCCAGAATGCAGTGTCTTGGGAATGGGGGATAATCAGGTTTGATCTGAGAGAAGAAATTGATAACTAATTCCTTAGATCGAGAGCCCCTCACTTTGTAACTAGTTCATCTATCATAACTTTGGGGTCCAGTCCCTGGACCCATTATGTACCTCTGTAATCTTTTGACTACCGCCCACAGGATGGGTATGGGGTGCATAATAAACATATTAAACAACAACAACGAGAGCCCCTCAGCATCATGACATCCTCCCTTTCTTAAAGGCTGTATGCAATCAAGTCAAAGATTTATTGGCACATGATACAGTGTTTGTATAGAGATGGATAACAGTTGTACATGCAACAAGCCCATGATTATACAGAACATTTTTTGCAGTGATTGAGTGTGAGAGATAATGTTGAGCAGTGAATAACTTTAGTGCCAAAGTTGTGTACATTTCCAGACCCTGCTCTCACTCCATTTGTTACTTCCACAGGGTGACTACATATGGATCGAACCGGTGTCTCGACGAGAGTTTGATGTAGCCATCGGTGCCAGGGTGGTCAGTGCTGAAGGTCGACGTATCCAGGTGCAGGACGACGACGGTCAGGTAGGTACTGTACCAGTAGCTGTCAGGGGAAGAACTTACAAACTAATAGAACGCTCAAAAAGGTTCAAGCAGCTTAAACCTTTACAAAATATAGAAAACTTTAATAAAGAAACAAATTTTATTTCCAAAATATACGTAAGCGTTAGAGAATTAGGTGGAATTTTGATTTCATATCTAATGACAAACCTCTGGTTATGCAAAGCATTTCAAGTAGACTAAAGCTAGAACTTAAAACTCTGTCTTTTTCTTAAAACTGACATTGTGTATAACTTCAGTCAGATTTTTCAGTAACAGTCAATAACTTGATACTGTTATTACAGGAACAATGGCTGACACCGGAACGAAGAATCAAAGCAATGCACCCCACCTCAGTGCAGGGGGTCGAGGACATGATCTCTCTAGGGGACCTCCACGAGGCTGGCATTCTTCGCAACCTTCTTATCAGATACAACGAGAATCTCATCTATGTAAGTAAATCATTCCTGGGAGCTCTCAGCTTCATCTCTAGGGATAGTATATTAACCACAAGGGAAGGAGGGGAAGAGGAAGAATTAAGATTAACATTAATATTCTTTATTTGTAATCACTGGAGGCCTGGTCACAGACCGGGCCGCGGGGGCGTTGACCCCCGAAACTCTCTCCAGGTAAGGTAAACTGGAGGCCTGGTCACAGACCGGGCCGCAGGGGCGTTGACCCCCGGAACTCTCTCCAGGTAAACTGCATTACAAAGTACATATACAATAATTAGGAAGACCATGCGATGCACAGCATTTAGGCCAAAATTTAGCCAAGCTATGAGATAAGATAAGATTTCGTTCGGATTTTTAACCCCGGAGGGTTAGCCACCCAGGATAACCCAAGAAAGTCAGTGCGTCATCGAGGACTGTCTAACTTATTTCCATTGGGGTCCTTAATCTTGTCCCCCAGGATGCGACCCACACCAGTCGACTAACACCCAGGTACCTATTTGCTGCTAGGTGAACAGGACAACAGGTGTAAGGAAACGTGTCGAAATGTTTCCACCCGCCGGGAATCGAACCCGAGCCCTCCGTGTGTGAAGCGGGAGCTTTAGCCACCAGGCCACCGGGTAATTTGGTTTATTATTATTTTTTAAGTCTATACATTGTATTAACAGTAAGTAAAAGTAAAGATACAAGTAACAACTTGCAAATTAATAAAAAAAAATTTTAATTGCCTAGTTATACAAAAATGGTGAGTGGAAAACCTGGGTAGCCACAGCCACTCAAGAGGGAGAGGTTTTTTAGTGCCAGGAAGGAAAAAAAACTGGCAGGAAATGGCAGAAATCGTACACCAAATCCAGTCATTCCTGGAGTGGAACCACAGTCGATGGCCTCCACTTCAAACCAACAGATACAGATACTAATGCCGGAAAAAAAATCCCCCCCCAGTACCAACAATACCACCAGTCCGATAACATTCTTCTTTGCAAATATACAGGGTCTAAAGCCGCAACAAACAACAAAATACCTTTCATCCGTGGACTGCTTGCAGAGGGAAAGGCAATGTTCGCGGCTTCACTGAGACCCACATAAAGGATCACTTGGACAATGAAAAAATGGATCCCAGGTTACAACCTATACAGATGTGACAGAAGTGAACAGGCAAAAGGGGGGGTTGGCCTGTACATTGCAGGTCACTTGTTTGCACAGAACTGCTTTAATGCCTCAAATGACGTAGTGGAAGTTTTAGCAGTAAAGGTCGAGAACCAAAACCTAGTCATTGTGGTAGTCTACAAGCCTCCGGATGCACATCCCAGCAATTCCAGGAACAGCTGTTAAAAATTGACCACTGTCTGGAAAATCTTCCAGCTCCCGCACCCAACATCTTGCTCCTGGGGGATTTCAACTTAAGGCACCTAAAATGGAGGAATATAGCAAATAATATTTGGGTTTCAGAAATAACACCAGGAGGCAGCTCTGATGAAAACTCACACTCACACGAGCTTTTAAATCTCTGCCCCAAAATTCAATTTAAACCAGCAAATAAAAGAGCCTACTAGACTGAGAATACACTAGACCTCATATTCACTAACAATGATGATCTGATAAGAAATGTCACCATATCAAAAACAATATACTCAGATCACAACATAATTGAGGTTCAGACATGTATGCGAGGAGCCCCAGACCGACAAAATGAGACTAGTCACGAGGGAGCATTCACCAAATTCAACTTCAAAAACAAAAACATAAAGTGGGACCAAGTAAACCAAGTCCTAACCGATATAAGCTGGGAAGATATACTAAGCAACACAGACCCAAACTTATGCCTAGAACAGATTAACTCGGTGGCACTCGATGTATGCACAAGGCTTATTCCTCTAAGAAAAAGGAGGAGTAGATGTAAAATAGAAAGAGACAGGCGCTCCCTTTACAGGCGACGGAAAAGAATAACAGAGCGGCTAAAAGAGGTCAATATATCTGAAATGCGCAGGGAGACACTGGTCAGAGAAATAGCAAGCATCGAACTTAAGCTAAAAGAATCCTTTAGGAGTCAGGAATCGCGGGAAGAACTAAAAGCTATAAATGAAATCGAAGAAACCCAAAGTATTTCTTCTCCTATGCCAAATCAAAATCGAGAACAACGCCCAGTATTGGGCCCCTACTTAAACAAGATGGGTCCTACACAGATGACAGCAAGGAAATGAGTGAGCTACTCAAGTCCCAATATGACTCAGTTTTTAGCAAGCCGCTAACCAGACTGAGAGTCGAAGATCAAAATGAATTTTTTATGAGAGAGCCACAAAATTTGATTAACACAAGCCTATCCGATGTTATCCTGACGCCAAATGACTTCGAACAGGCGATAAATGACATGCCCATGCACTCTGCCCCAGGGGCAGACTCATGGAACTCTGTGTTCATCAAGAACTGCAAGAAGCCCCTATCACGAGCCTTTTCCATCCTATGGAGAGGGAGCATGGACACGGGGGTCGTCCTCAGTTACTAAAAACAACAGACATAGCCCCACTCCACAAAGGGGGCAGTAAAGCAACAGCAAAGAACTACAGACCAATAGCACTAACATCCCATATCATAAAAATCTTTGAAAGGGTCCTAAGAAGCAAGATCACCACCCATCTAGAAACCCATCAGTTACACAACCCAGGGCAACATGGGTTTAGAACAGGTCGCTCCTGTCTGTCTCAACTACTGGATCACTACGACAAGGTCCTAAATGCACTAGAAGACAAAAGAATGCAGATGTAAATATATACAGACTTTGCAAAGCCTTCGACAAGTGTGACCATGGCGTAATAGCGCACAAAATGCGCGCTAAAGGAATAACAGGAAAAGTCGGTCGATGGATCTATAATTTCCTCACTAACAGAACACAGAGAGTAGTCGTCAACAGAGTAAAGTCCGAGGCAGCTACGGTGAAAAGCTCTGTTCCACAAGGCACAGTACTAGCTCCCATCTTGTTCCTCATCCTCATATCCGACATAGACAAGGATGTCAGCCACAGCACCGTGTCTTCCTTTGCAGATGACACCCGAATCTGCATGACAGTGTCTTCCATTGCAGACACTGCAAGGCTCCAGGCGGACATCAACCAAATCTTTCAGTGGGCTGCAGAAAACAATATGAAGTTCAACGATGAGAAATTTCAATTACTCAGATATGGTAAACATGAGGAAATTAAATCTTCATCAGAGTACAAAACAAATTCTGGCCACAAAATAGAGCGAAACACCAACGTCAAAGACCTGGGAGTGATTATGTCGGAGGATCTCACCTTCAAGGACCATAACATTGTATCAATCGCATCTGCTAGGAAAATGACAGGATGGATAATGAGAACCTTCAAAACTAGGGAGGCCAAGCCCATGATGACACTCTTCAGGTCACTTGTTCTATCTAGGCTGGAATATTGCTGCACTCTAACAGCACCTTTCAAGGCAGGTGAAATTGCCGACCTAGAAAATGTACAGAGAACTTTCAAAGGCGCGCATAACGGAGATAAAACACCTCAATTACTGGGAGCGCTTGAGGTTCTAAACCTGTATTCCCTGGAACGCAGGAGGGAGAGATACATGATTATATACACCTGGAAAATCCTAGAGGGACTAGTACCGAACTTGCACACGAAAATCACTCACTACGAAAGCAAAAGACTTGGCAGACGATGCACCATCCCCCCCAAAGAAAAGCAGGGGTGTCACTAGCACGTTAAGAGACCATACAATAAGTGTCAGGGGCCCGAGACTGTTCAACTGCCTCCCAGCACACATAAGGGGGATTACCAACAGACCCCTGGCAGTCTTCAAGCTGGCACTGGACAAGCACCTAAAGTCAGTTCCTGATCAGCCGGGCTGTGGCTCGTACGTTGGTTTGCGTGCAGCCAGCAGCAACAGCCTGGTTGATCAGGCGCTGATCCACCAGGAGGCCTGGTCACGGACCGGGCCGCGGGGGCGTTGACCCCCGAAACTCTCTCCAGGTAAACTCCAGGTCTCCAGGTAAACAATACAATACAATACAATTTAATACAATAAAAATTATCAAGATTATTTCAGCATACATGGATATTAAAGTTAATTAAAATGATTAAGGAAAATTCTTGGTAAAAGTGGTGGCCTGGTGGCTAAAGCTCCCGCTTCACACACGGAGGGCCCGGGTTCGATTCCGGGTGGAAACATTTCGACACGTTTCCTTACACCTGTTCACCTAGCAGTAAATAGGTACCTGGGCGTTAGTCGACTGGTGTGGGTCGCATCCTGGGGGACAAGATTAAGGACCCCAATGGAAATAAGTTAGACAGTCCTCGATGACGCACTGACTTTCTTGGGTTATCCTGGGTGGCTAACCCTCCGGGGTTAAAAATCCGAACGAAATCTTATCTTATCTTAATCTTATGTCTGAATGAAGAGGATTTAAACATATGGTACGATTTACTGAAGTACAAAAAAAGTAGAAACGGGAAGTATAGGAGGATGAATAATGGATAAAAACTGAAGAAGCAGGTTTCAAGATGTATTTGAATGTATTATGTTATAAATTACAATAGGGGAAAGTTTAGTTTAATATGTTTATTATGCACCCCATACCCATCCTGTGGGCGGTAGTCAAAAGATTACAGAGGTACATAATTGGTCCAGGGACTGGACTCCAAAGTTTTGATAGCTGAGCAAGTTACAGAGGTAATGAACTCATAATTTACAAAGGTAATGAACTCACAATTTACAAAGGTAATGAACTCACAATTTACAAAGGTAATGAACTCACAATTTACAAAGGTAATGAACTCCAGGTAGGTCTAGTCACAATCATGACAAGTTACAAAGGTATTTACAGTTAACAGAGGTAAAGTCCGAGGCAGCTACGGTGAAAAGCTCTGTTCCACAAGGCACAGTACTCGCTCCCATCTTGTTCCTCATCCTCATATCCGACATAGACAAGGATGTCAGCCACAGCACCGTGTCTTCCTTTGCAGATGACACCCGAATCTG